AAAAAGAAATATTTTCACCAAAAATGAAGTCAAAATATTCGCTACTTTTTGAGATAGCAAAATTTTGAAAAAATTTTGAAATCGTTATATCTCCCATAAAACTTTATAAAAACTAAAAATTTTTTTTTTCAAAAATTCAGGATGAAAAAACGAAAAAAAGAATGTTAATAATGTTTATATAAAATTTTGTTAATTAAAAAAGTTATTTAAATAATTTTACTTAACTTTTAAGCGGCCAGTTCAAATTCTATTGTTTAAAGAGAAAAATGAACTTGATTGTTTAATATTTAATATTCCGAAAGAAAATTTATATACCACCAAGAAATTTTCAAGTTATTCAATAAAATACTCAAAATTTTGCCAAAAACTCTTAACCCTTTACAAACGCGTGCACAACTCAACGGTACCGGAAACGGAAACCGTCATAAACCGTACAAAAAATTTTTTTTTCAATTACAAAAGCTTAGATTTGTTTATGAAATAAATTTTTTTTGGTTTATTTCACAAACTTTAAATATGGGCACCACAAAAATAATCAGAATGCCACATAACTCCGGACATTTATTAAGAGTGATATCACCCTTCTATAATCAAAATTGCAATAATGAAATTAAATTATTTATTAATATTTTATAAGTTGTTTTAATACTTATTTTGCTAAATATTTTCTACAAGAACAGTTATTTAAAAAAATGCAATTATATATTTTCTAAAATTTAATTAATTCTAATTAATTATTACAACAGTAATTCTTCCAAAATTGAAATTATTAAATTATTTAATTATTAAAAAAGGGATTTAATTTAATATATGCCCACAAATAAATTTCATTTGAATTAAATTTTACGATATTTAAATTATCTAATTTTTTTGAATGAAATTATCAATAATTTTAATTTTAAATCTTTGAAATTCAAGTATAGTTTTTTATATTCACAAAAATTAATATTTTATTGCAATATGAGGAAGAAATATATAATATATAAATTAGCTTCTCAATGTCATGTGGCGATTTGGTTGAGCACATTAAAGCGCTATCCCAGCAGCACACTTGGAGGCCTACACGGAGAGAAGAGTTACAGTCGTAACAACAAAACGCGTTTAGTAGCAGAAACACATGGAGAGCGATTGTAGCGCCCCTGGCGGTTTAGTTCCTGTTTAGTATCCCTGACTAAACTGACAGTCGTTCCTACTATAGTTTAGTAGATGCGACTGTTAAATTTGTCCGTCGAAAATTAACAAAACTGTTTAGTTATCACAACTGAACCGATAGTCGCCTTCACTATTCTCTTCTCTCCGTGTATGACTTGTGGTTCGAGTCCGCTGACCCTTATGTGCTGTAGCAGGGTGGCCGCAAGATTGACTTTATCAATTTCCCTGACATTTCCCTGACATTTTACTGACATAACAACGAATTTCCCTGACAAAAATTTTTTTGTTTAGAGCAAAAAATGTATTACATAACTGTCTTAATTTCTTTAATTGCCCTGACAAAAGAAATTTCCCTGACTTTAGTGACAAAAAAATTTTTTTCCTGACATTTCCCTTCTTCTTTTTTAATTTTAATTTAATATCTTTATTGGGATCTAACTTCCCATACCTTAATACAGAGTTTTTACCTCTCCTTACAAATATACATTACGCTTACAAGTTAAGCAAAATAAAAGAGTAGAAGACACAATTCAATAAATTTACAAAACAATATACAATACAATTAAAATAAAATCACTGTACAATACTGGTTACGCTCGGGGTTTGCTTTGTTATCCTTACTTTTTCTTTTTTATGTTCTTTTCGCACTCTATACTTTACTTAACTAATTACATATATTGTTCCGCTTCTCTAACATTTTGATAAACATTTTAGTACACTTTTTTGCCACAAAGGTATTTTGCGTGGATAGCAAATTTCTCCAAAACGCATACTGATCAGAGGCTGTATTCGCTTCCGGGAAAAATTCGAGCCTAATCACATTGTAACACTCACACACTACAAAAAAATGATAAAAATCCTCCCTTATCTCTTCACACCACATACAGTGTTCCATGTTGGGTACTTCTAATCTGACGCCTGAGATCACAGTATATCTTACATGTTTATTTATTAAGCGACATTGGTCAAATAATCTTTTTAAGTACAACGTCATTCTATTAATAAGATCCCTACTGAAAAAGAACGACTGTAAATACGAGCGTAAATATGATTGTGAATACGACCCTAAATACGGGCCTTAGAAGGGTAGTGTAATTGAAACAGCAAATACAGCCGTTTTTAAGCCCGTATTTAGAGTCGTATTTACGGTCATATGTGAGTTCCATTTTTTTAAAAAATATATATATATATATACCCCCACAGCACCGAAACTTTCCTAAAAATTTATTGAATATTTACTTGTAATATTCGGCATATTTAACTGAAATGTTTAGTGAAAATTGTATTTTACACAACTTTTAATAAACATCCCGCGTGGAAATGAAAGTACGGGCAAAGTCCAGCAAAGTCCATCAAAGTACAGAATAGTATGGGCAAAGTACAGTAAAGTACGGCTAATGAGCGTTTCCCATACTTTGGAATGTGCATGGTTAACAACGATATTTCAAGTACGGGGACAGCTCGGCAAAGTACGGGATCAAGAAAATAGGTTTTTCGGGAATATTTTCGAATAGAGAACTACACCAAAGTATTTGAGGCCAGTTTTTTGGGAAATATTAAATCAGAAAATTCTAAATCTGAATCTTTAGAGTTCGGCAAAGTACGGGAAAGTACAGCAAAGTATGGGAGAGTAAAAAAAAAGTTTTTTTTGAAATATTAAATATAAAAATTAAAATTCTGAATTTTTGGAGTTCGGCAAAGTACAGAAAAGTACAGCAAAGTATGGGAAATTTAAAAATTAGTTTTTTTTGAAATATTAAATTAGAAAATAAAATTCTGAATTTTTGGAGTTCGTCAAAGTACAGAAAAGTATAGCAAAGTATGGGAAATATAAAAATTAGTTTTTTTTGAAATATTAAATTAGAAAATAAAATTCTGAATTTTTGGAGTTCGGCAAAGTACGGAAAAGTACAGCAAAGTATGGGAGAGTAAAAAAGGGTTTTTTGAGAATCTTGAATAAGAAAATTTAAAATCTGGATATCGGAGTTCGGCAAAGTACGGAAAAGTGCAGCAAACTATGGGCTAGTAAATAAATGGTTTTTCGTAAAATATAACTTCATAAAATTAAATTTTGGAATTTTGGATTTTCGTAAAGAATATGTCAAAATGTAGAAGAATCCTATTGCTTGATAAAATGGTGTGTTAAAGAATTAAAATCAAATTTAAGTTTCCGTGTGTGCAGTATGGTCAATGTTTTACAAAGTACAGCGAGGTAAGGGTGTGGAATGAAATTTTTCTGTACATTACCGTAATTTTCCGAACTTTAAAAATTCAGAATTTTATTTTCTAATTTAATATTTCAAAAAAAATCTATTTTTTAAATCTCCCATAGTTTGCTATATTTTCCCGTAATTTGCCGAACTCTAAAAATTCAGAAATTCAATTTTCATATTTAATATTTCAAAAAAATCAATTTTTTAAATCTCCCATACTTTGCTGTACTTTCCCGTACTTTGCCGAACTCCTAAAATTCAGAATTTTATTTTCTAATTTATTATTTCAAAAAAAACTAATTTTTAAATTTCCCATACTTTGCTGTACTTTTCTGTACTTTGCCGAACTCCAAAAATTCAGAATTTTATTTTCTAATTTAATATTTCAAAAAAAACTAATTTTTAAATTTCCCGTACTTTGCCGAACTCCAAAAATTCAGATTTAAAATTTTCTAATTTAATATATCAAAAAAAATCTATTTTTTAAATATCCCATACTTTGCTGTACTTTTCTGTACTTTGCCGACCTCCAAAAATTCAGATTTAAAATTTTCTAATTTAATATATATAAAAAATCTATTTTTTAAATATCCCATACTTTGCTGTACTTTTCTGTACTTTGTCGAACTCCAAAAATTCAGAATTTTATTTTCTAATTTAATATTTCAAAAAAAAAATATTTTTTTACTCTCCCATACTTTGCTGTACTTTCCCGTACTTTGCCGAACTCTAAAGATTCAGATTTTGAATTTTCTGATTTAATATTTCCCAAAAAACTAGCCTCAAATACTTTGGTGTAGTTCTCTATTCGAAAATATTCCCGAAAAACCTATTTTCTTGATCCCGTACTTTGCCGAGCTGTCCCCGTACTTTAAATATCGTTGTTAACCATGCACATTCCAAAGTATGGGAAACGCTCATTAGCCGTACTTTACTGTACTTTGCCCATACTATTCTGTACTTTGATGGACTTTGCCCGCACTTCCTTTTCGACGCGGGATTGCAATTACATATTCCGAACATTGCAAGTAAATATTTAATAAATTTTTGAGGAAAGTTTCGGTGCTGTGGGGGTATATATATATAATGAAACATCATTAATTATTATTAATTTAATATATTAAATATAATATTGCAACTAAAATAAATATTATTTAGGGTAAGTATTGAAATACGATTTATTCTTATAATAAATGCATAACAAACAAATATATAAATGTCACTTCATTTTAATCACAAACACACATATACACATGGTACAATTATTTAATACAAATTGTAATTGTAATTTTTATTATTTTTATTATAAGAGAAAAAATACTTGTACGCACAATAAAAACACTTGTACATTTTTCAACAGCTAAATAAAAACCAAATGACGCGAATCACATGTAAGTAAGCACTGTTGTAAAAAAGGTTGGGTCTATTAGGATGGGTAGTTGCACGTAACTTGAAATATTAATACTAAATTTGTTTGTTTTTAAAATAGTGATTAAACTTTTTAATTACATTTAATTCATAAATATACTATTATTATTTCTGTTAGTATTATTATTACATTTATTACTAATATTTAAAGTTACGTGCAACTACCCATCCCTATAGACCCAACCTTTTTTACAACAGTGCTTACTTACATGTGATTCGCGTCATTTGTGGTTTTTATTTAGCTGTTGAAAAATGTACAAGTGTTTTTATTGTGCGTACAAGTATTTTTTCTCTTATAATAAAAATAATAAAAATTACAATTTTTAATAAATAATTGTACCATGTGTTGCGACGATGTAAATAGTCACTCTCTTAAAATCCCGAAAACCTAAATTGTGGTGCCACCTGTTAGAAGTCATTGAACCGTAGAGTTCAAAATTATGGTAATGAGGGAAACTTGATGCTGCCGGACGACCCAGTGAAAGTCGTGAAAGTGGGTCGCGCGGCTAGTTAGTAGGAAGAGAAAGTGACAGGTGGCAGGGCCAGTATTGAAATTTGAGAACGAGAAGAAGACGGGCCATGTGGAGAGAAATTGGACGCTACAGGTGTTCCATATATTAGCCGCCATAACGGTTTTTGTTCTGTCGTGCCACTGATCGTGTACCGCCAGTAAACTTTTAATAAATCGTTTTCTTTCGTAGAAATTTATTGTGAGAACCTTTTGTGAAGTGTAGCGTGAAGCTCAAAGAGTTTATAATTAAAATTCAGTGATTGAAAAATACAACTTGTGTATTATTTAATTTGTGATTCCCTTTTCCAACCCGGATTTAAGTCGCCAGAATTCAAAGAGGGACATAAGTCGAAGGGCCGTGAAGAAGGTGAACGAGGTCAGAAGTCCAAGGAGTGAGCGTCGTGGGTAAGTCGTTTGCCGGTACTAAGCCAGTCGTGTCTCGTCGTTGGCATTTTCTGCTTGCCAATTGTTCGAGCAGAATCTCCTTTGAGTGAGAGAGAAGCTCAGAGGGTCGAGTTGTAATTGTTGGTCGAGTCAAATTAAAGTTTATTAATTTAGCTTTTAAAAATTAATTGGCGCCTGACGGCGAAGTTTATTTAATTAAATTTCACATTTAAGTATTGTTGAAAGCGTCAGATTTTGCTTGGCGTAAGCATAACTTTTATACTAAATTAAAATATTTTAAAATTATACGTCACAAAATTTGGCGCCCAACGTGGGGCCAGGCTCGAACCGAGACACGACTGAAATTTAATTGTGAGCCAGATTTTAGTGCAAGTGTGCCAGAAATTTGAATCTTTAATTTAGGCAGAGCCAAAGTTTAATTTGTCAATAGCCAGAAGATTCAAATTTTGTTGCTTGCCAGTGCCAGAAAATTGTATGTTATCAGCTGACAGAAAATTCAAAATTCCCAGTGCCAGATTGTTTATTGATTTATTTTGCCAATGCCAGAATTTACTTATCGATAAATTATAAGTAAATTAATACCAAAAATTGTGTAAAATAAAATTGTAGAGTGCCTTTGCCAATTATTTGAAAATTTAATTTTCTTTGAGACTGTAAAAATTTCCTGCCGTGATAAAAATTGAATTCAACAATTAAAAATTTTTTTTTTGTTTGTCGAAAGCCAGTTTTGTGAGAAAAATCCGAGTAAAATTCCCCACAACTTGTGCAAAATCAAAAATTTCCCCAAAATTTTATGCCGAGCACATGTTAGCCCGGAAATAAAATTCGAATTAGTCACGTGACTGTAAATAGTGCGCCGGACGGTCGAGAGAAACGACGCGCCGGGATATTTAAAATTTCGATAGCCGAGAGAAAGTTGCGCGCGCCAGGAAAGAGTGGCCTAGTAGTAGTAGTAATAGCGGCTACACAGAGAGAGAGAACGAGAAGAAGAGACAGAGGGAGTGTCGAGTCACCAGTCCGCCAGAAATTTAAGAATTTTAAAAGGGGGACCTCCTTGAGTAGTCACGTCCTTGCTTCAAGACAGCACAGTGCCGTATATACTAATTGTGCACCCCCCTGAAAATTTAAAATTTTTCAAACTTAGAAAATTTTCTTTACAAATTTTTTTTAAATGGCAAAGGCAATTGACGAGATGCAGGATTACAAGAGACGCATGAGCGAATTAATTGGAGTACCATGTGTAAGCCGAGCATGGGAAAAAATTAAAATCATGCAAGTTGGCCAGGTAGTGACGAATTTATTGAGACACCAATTGTGTATCAGTGGTTCGTCACAAGTTTTGAAGGAGAGACTATTGCGAGCGGAAATGAGGTTAGCTCAAATCGACGATTGAGATGTACTATTTAGCGACATCTATGATTTGGGAAGTTCCGACAAAATTTTCTTAATGGAAGCTTTTCCAGAGCCAGAGTTCGACAAATTCCCATTTGTAAATTATCGTCGGGGTGGCCAGATGTCATCGGCAGATGACGAAGAATCAGATAGTGGGGCAAGTCAGGTCATCGAACGTATTAGGGCCAGGAAAACTCCAGGGAGTGGGGGAAATAAAACTAAAGTTGGAACATCGTACAGTAGACACAGTCCGACAAGCGTTGCACCCACCCCAAATTTTACACTCCCAATCCCAGTCATGACAACCGCCAGCATGACGACGTTTTCCCCCACAACATCGAATGCTCAGCTGAGTATGACAACGAGCACGGTCATGACAGCACCCCATACTATTCAGTCGGCCACGATGGCCCAGTGGTCCAGAGCCTCCGTGATTCAGTTGCGCGTTTGGGTTTGTCACACAAAATAAAGAAGATAATGGAGTACGCTGAGAAAATGGACCGCCAGTATTCGGGAGGGGGGTGGGAACTACAACAAAGCCAGTGTAGGGCCGAGGTTGCCGAGGGGCACCATCTGATTCACCACCAGCAATCGAGATTCGTATCCCCTCAAAGGAATTTCCTTGTAGCCGAGACCTCACACAATCACCAAAATGATGACAGAGTGAGGCCCACACCAGCCCCGAGGAGCCATTCCAGCCGAAGTAGCGCAGTTGATACTAGCAATAATCATCGTAGAGTGCCAAAGAACGGAGAGCCAGCTTTGAATCCCGAAAACAATGAAAGCCGAAGTAGGGGTAAAAGAGACAAAGTAGAGAGACAGATCGAGTATAGTGGTAGTGAAGAGGGCCGTGTAAGTAGCAGATGTAGTTGTAGGAGTAAGAACAATGACCGATCGGACGAGAAAATTATAAGAAAAGTGGATAGGGAACGTAGAGCAGGAAAAAGAGTGGGGGAGAGCCGAAGATCGTTCTTAGATGACTCTTCGAGTGAGTCCGAAGTTGAGAGCGATCTAAGTCAGAGATTGAGCAGTAGTGGGGAAACTATAGAACTTAGGCCCGGCCGGAGGTCCAAAGTGATAAAAACACTGAAGGATTGAGACCTAAAAGGAAAGGGGAGAAAATTTCTCCATATTTAACCAGTTTTCGGTTGATCTTGGGTCACATGAGACGACCACTGAGCCAGAAACAACAGGTCAAACTGGCCTATAACCGTCCAGTTGACGACGGTAGGCTGGTGTCAACCAGCCTACCGTCGTCAACTGGAGCGACTCCATTTTGAATCCTTGAGCCAGATGGAGAAAATTTTGAGAGATTACGAGATGGCCAAAGACTTAAACGAAAGATACGCCCCACCACTACCCAAAGAGAAGATGCGTTTCCCAGCAGCAGCCATGAAGGAGAAGAAGAGTGGCCAGAAGAACGTCAAGAGTGAAAAGGTAGCAGCACTAGAGAAGGAGTCAGAATCGAGTGAGAGCGATCACTCTACAAAGACAGAAAAGCCGAAGAAAAAGAAGAAGAAGAGTAAGAAGAGTAAGAAAGAAAAGAGTAAGCCAGAAGAAAAGAGCGTCGAGGCCATTAGTCCAGCGACACCAAGCCAGAAGCCAGCAACGGCCCAGGGCCAAGTTGCCAATACTGCACCACCACATGCAGTGCAAATGCCAATGCAATTTGCCTACCCAATGGTTTACCCAGGGATGTTTACGCCTGGAATAAAACCAAATTACCCCAAGCCAAATGGTCCTAAAGGACCCAAGCCGGAGCAAAATGGTACACAAACTTAAAATACTCCTAAAGAATTCGTTGGGGCATGTTTTCATTGCCAGACTACAGGACATCGACCCACAGATTGTCCTCAGAGAACCTGCTTTTCTTGCCACAACAGGGGCATTATGCAAATCAATGCCCTCTGAAGCCAGCCCAAACAGAAGCATGTTTGGTATGTAAGAGGCCAGGATGCAATTTTCTAAATTGCCCAAATTGTGTGAAGGTCAGAGCCGCCTTGGGAAACGGCTTGTGGGGGGCATAGAGCAGTCCTGTACCCCCCTCAAACCCAACAGGACAGTAACTAATACTGTCGAGGGGTGTAGAGCCGAATCGTGTGAGCCGAGGGTAGTAGAAAAGAGAGCCGAGATTTTTAAGCCATGTAGAGTAGAGATAAACAGCGAGTATAGAGACAGATTCGCGCCAAATTGTAGTTGGGTAAAAACGGAACGAGAATTAGAATTAGAGAGAGGAGAAGAAGTTAAGAAAAGTTTGGAGCCAGTCATAGGTAAAGACGACCTAACTGAGAACAATGTGTACAAATTTATACCAGATTATAGTCAAGAGAGGTCGAGTGAAAAGAGCTCACTCTACCGAAACGTAGTAGAGAAAATGGCCGAAGAGTGTGGGACAAAAGGTACGGAAGTGATCCCGGTACCTATAGTCCAGGGGAGGGGAGAGGCTGTGAAAGTCACAGCTGACCCGAACTTAAGGCATGTCCAAGTTGTGAAATGTAAACAAACCAAAAGGTAAACAAACCAAACACAAAAATCGCAATTTTGTAACAGACATTTCTCCCACAAAAATGAATATTTTTTCACTTTCTCTACAAAAATGGAAAATTAGAGTTTCAAAGTGTCCAAAAAAATCATTTTTGGCTATAAGCAATAAAAAGCAATTAGTAAAATAACTAATTAAAATTACCTGTAAAATAGCATTATTGACGCGTCGCGAAAAATAAACTGTTTGAGTATATCAACCGCACGGATGATGAAGAAGTCTCATGTCAGCGATTGGACCTTCAACATGTGGAAGGGGAAATTTTTCCCTTTCCTCCTTGAAATTACAAGAGAAAGGGTAAAAACTTCTTCATCGTCCGTGCGGTTGATATAGTCAAACACTTAAATTTTTCGCGACGGGAACTCTGTTGCTCTCTGCGCGTGCGCAGACCATACTAAGAATGCATTGACAACACCTTGCAGAAGTGCACATTTTGTTTTAAATTAAACTTAGTTATTTTCTCATTTTTTTAGCTATGCTAGGTATAGTTACCAAATTCAATACTTTAGTTTACCATTTCCATGAAGAAAATGTGAATTTATGTTTATTTATGCAAATGAGATGGTCGAAAAAATGCTTCATTATAGACCGAATAGTGAAGCATTTTTTCGACCATCTCATTTGCATAAATAAATATAAATTCACAATTTCTTTATGGAAATGGTAAACTAAAGTATTGAATTTGGTAACTATACCTAGCATAGCTGAAAACATGAGAAAACAACAAAGTTACAGTCGAAAACAAAATGTGCATTTTCGCATGGTGATATCATTGCGACCTTGGTACGGCCTGCGCACGCGCAGCGAGCAGCAGAGTTCCCGTCGCGAAAAATTAAAGTGTTTGACTATATCAACCGCACGGACGATGAAGAAGCTTTTACCCTTTCTCTTGTAATTTCAAGGAGGAAAGGGAAAAATTTCCCCTTCCACATGTTGAAGGTCCAATCGCTGACATGAGACTTCTTCATCATCCGTGCGGTTGATATACTCAAACAGTTTATTTTTCGCGACGCGTCAATAATGCTATTTTACAGGTAATTTTAATTAGTTATTTTACTAATTGCTTTTTATTGCTTATAGCCAAAAATGATTTTTTTGGACACTTTGAAACTCTAATTTTCCATTTTTGTAGAGAAAGTGAAAAAATATTCATTTTTGTGGGAGAAATGTCTGTTACAAAATTGCGATTTTTGTGTTTGGTTTGTTTACCTTTTGGTTTGTTTACATTTCACAACTTGGACATGCCCTTAAGTAATGAGGAGGACATCGATGGATCTAGGACGGAGAACAGATACTTCTTCGACATGTCTATCGGCAACCATCATTACGGGGCAATTTTTTGATCCTGGTGCTATGATTTCAATAATTACCACCAGAGTCGCAGAGCCTTTCAAAAGCGGAATTCAGCCGTGTGGTACAGTTGTGAGGAGTGCAACAGGAGGTATCACCGAAACAGCCGGACTTCTGGACCTTAACATTGTAGTCGATGGATTTGCTCAAAAATTCGCAGTAAAAGTCATGAAGACTTTGACACAGGATATCATCTTGGGCATCGACTTCTGCAAGGCCTGGGACATGGAAGTGAAGCTTAAAGAAGGACTGTGGAGAGTTTTTCGAGGAGAATGGCATGAGTTTGGACCAAAAGAGAGAGAAGAGGACGAACAATTAATATTCGCCGAATGTGCCGGTATTTCTGCGCTTGACGATGAGCAGAAGAGCATAATCCAAGCCATAGTAGACAAATGGGTATTGCCAGAGTCGGAAGAACACGGAATGACAGACTTGACGGAACATCATATACGTGTTACGGACGAAACGCCAGTACAACATGGAATCAGACGGATGTCTCCAGCCATGTTAACTTGGGCCCAAGGCAACGCTGCCAAATTGTACAAACTAGTTATCATCGAGCCATCGGCCAGCCGTTGGAGGAGTGCGCCAGTAATAACGAGAAGAGGAGAGAACGATTTTCGACAGTGTAACGACTACAGAGACGTCAACAAAGTTACGATCAAAGATGGGTATCCACTGCCATCCATCGATTATATTTTGGATAAGCTCCGAAAAGCCAGATATCTGTCGAAGGTAGATCTCAAGCTGGCATATCACCAAATACCAATGGCCGAAGAGAGTAAGAAATATACCGCTTTTGCCATACCTGGGTCAGGACTGTGGCAGTTCCGCCGAATGCCGTTTGGGCTCATGAACGCGCCGATGACGTTCCAACGCCTAATCGACGCATTGTTGGGGCCGAAAGTAGAGCCGCATGTCTTCGGGTATCTGGACGACATCATAGTAGTCACAGGCATTTTTGAAGAACATGCTAAGTGGTTAGAGTTCGTTCTCAAGAAATTGAATAAGGCGAAGTTGATAGTGAATCCAGATAAGTGCGAGTTCGGGTGTTCCGAAGTGACTTATTTGGGTTACTTATTGGACAAAGAAGGTTTGAGGCCAGATCCGAATAAGACAGAGCCGGTGAGAAACTATCCAGAGCCGAAGAACGTGAGACAACTCAGCTGACATCTGCGCCAGTCTGCAACTATGCCATTGGAGCCGTACTGACACAAGAGTTCGAAGACGGAGAGCACCCAATAGTTTACATCAGCCGAGTCTTGACGGAGCCAGAGAGAAACTACAGTGTGACAGAAAAGGAGTGTCTGTCATTATTGTGGTCGATCAAGAAGTTCAGGCCGTATATTGAAGGGTACAAGTTTCATGTGATCACAGATCACAGTGCCCTAAAATGGCTCAGGAACTTAAAAGATCTTACAGGCCGGTTAGCCAGGTGGGCCTGGGAAATGCAGCAATTGGACTTCGACATAGTTCACAGACGAGGTGCACAACATCATGTCCCTGATGCATTGTCCAGGCTTCAAGAAGACAAAGAAGAGTCAGTAGCCGCGTTTGAATCCATTGAGGATCAGTGGTACCTCAAACGCCAAGAGTTGGTGAGCCAGCATCCTCAGAGGTTCCCGGGGTGGATCGTTGAGAACGAGAACCTATATCGTCACAGAAGTGACCCACTGTTACTGCCGATAAACGGAGATGAGGACGGCTGGAAGTTAGTAGTGCCAGAAGAGTATAGAGCAAGAGTGATGGAAGACGGACACGCCTAAACTTCAGCCGGACATCTGGGTATTGAGAAGACCTACGACAGAATAGCACGAGAGTACTATTGGCCAGGCATATGGAATGATGTACACAATTACGTAACACATTGTCTCCAGTGCCAATTACATAAGGTGTCTCAAGCCGGACCAGTCGGACTAATGAGCCAAAGAATTGTTGAGAGGCCGTGGGCCGTAGTAGCAGCAGATACGATGGAGTTTCCACCAAGTAAGAGCCATTGTAAGTACCTGGTGGTGTTCCAGGACTTGTTCTCGAGGTGGATAGAGGTGAAGCCACTGAGGTCAGCTGATGGGAAGTCGGTAGCCAGAGCATTCGAGGAGTTGGTCCTATTCAGATGGGAAACGCCAGAGTACTTATTGACCGACAACGGTAAGGAGTTTGACAACAAATTTCTCAAGTCCACACTTGAGGAATATGGAGTCAAGCACATTACGACCCCTCCTTACCATCCACAAGCCAACCCAGTCGAACGAAGCAACAGGACTCTTAAAACGATGATCTCCACCTTCATTGGTGCTGATCATAGGAATTGGGATCTTCATGTGCATGAGTTCCGTCATGCGGTGAACACGGCGACACAGGCGGCGCCAAAACGTCTCCTGCGTTCCTGAATTACGGAAGACACCCCAAGCCAGTAAAGAGCCTACGAAGAGAAGTCGAGGGAACGAGAAAAGTAGTCAGAATAGGGCCAGAATAGTGGGTAGATAGAATTAAAAGATTAGACGCGTTAAGAGACATGGTGGCCAGACACATTGACAAAGAACGAACGAGACAAACAAAGTATTATGACAAAGGTAGGAGAGCAGTGACTTTTAAAGTAGGCGATTTGGTATTGCGAAAAAGCCATAAGTTGTCCAGTGGGGCACAAAAGTTCGCGACAAAACTAGCACCGAAATACGAGGGTCCATTTGAGATCGTCGAGGTCCGGTCGCCAACTGTATTTATCCTACGAGATGAACAAAGCCGGCGAGTCCCTAAAGTCCACATTACCGACCTGAAACCATACTTACCTGTCCCAAATTCGTAAATTGTCATGTTCCTATTGTGAATAAAGAAATTGTTTTAGAGCGAGCGGGGAGCCAAGGCCAGAGAGAGAAGTCGAGGAAGAGAAAGGATATGCCCGGACAGAGGAACAACCGTAGCCGACGGTCACCGAGCCGTCACAGGGCTTCGTCCGAATTCGTTGGACCTGATTGGGAAGCATCCCCATCCCCACCACGAATTACACGTCAGGGAAGAAGTCGAAGCGGTCACCGCCCAGCGCCAGAATTCCACCAGGGAAACGTCCAAATGATTAGGCCGTCTCTCCTATCCTTCCCGATTACGGAACCAGTATCGGCGGAACCGATAGTGGCCAGAAGAGCGGACGTGAGAAGAAGAAGAGATGCTCACCAAACGGCGGAGGAAGTACGACGGCCAGAGGAAACGGAGAGGGCAACTGGAGAACAGGCAGGGTTAGTCACGAAACCAGAGGACTGGGCGGAATTAAGCATGTTAGAGGAGAGAGGAAAGAAAGAGAAGAAGACGACAATTAGACCGGATGGAGCGGAGGTGGTATTACCACATCGATGGCCAGCTGACCAGGGCCCGACTGAGAGCCTCGAGGCGTACGAGAGCAGACTGGCCGAGTACGAGTTGGAAATGTTTTTGAACTCAAAGGAGCCGATGACAACGGTAGCCTTAGAGAGAGCCAGAGCCAAGCAAAGGAAGGCGCTCAGAGAAAGAAGTGAAAAACAATGGACAGCCAACGACATAGAGAGCCAAACACCCGTACCGCAAATGAGGAAGTTGAACAGCCCTCAACCAGGACCACCGACCGAACCGGAACGGATGTTAGGAGCCAGGCCGAAGGAGAAACAAGGATCGCAAGTCAGGGACATGAATGAGAGCCAGAGACCAGAGAATAGAGAACGAAGACTAGAGGAACCTGTTCTAAACCAAAGGCCCGAGGAATAGTCTTCGGGGGATTGACACTAATTCCCACGGACAAAGCATTAGATCCACCGCCCTATAGTTGTTTCAACTGTTAGCGAGTAGGGCATAATGCCGAACATTGTCGTGATCCAACACGTCACGAATATTGTTGGAACTGTGGCCGAAGTTTCACCAGTGTGGAGAAATGCCCCAGGTGTGCCAAGGCGTACGCGCGCTACATGGGAAGGCCGTACGAAGAGGAAGCGAACATAGCGAAGGAGCCGAGGAAAGAGGAACAGGAGAAAGAAGCCATTGAGGAAATCCTTTTGACTACAAATTCCCCGAGTCAAGAACCCGATCCAGAAGACAAGCAAAGTAACCAAGATCAGCCAGTAGTAGATGAGAAAGAGGAGGAAGAGGAAGATCTGGATAACTTAGCACAAAGCATATTGATCCTGACGAAAGCACTAAAAGGTCTCCCAGTTGAAACCTTGGATCTGGCGATTCGTCAACTCATTAACGAGAGGAAGAAGAAACTGGAAAGAGGATTCCGCAAGTGAGGAGAGAAGAAAAAGGAGGGCCAGTAGAGAGAGTAGGAGAGCCAGTAGAGAAGGTCAGAGAGAGGAGAAATAGGAGGGCCAGTAGAGAAAGTAGGAGAGCCAATAGAGAATGTCAGAGAGAGGAGAAAGAGGAGGGTCAGATAAGAGAGTAGGAGAGCCAGTAGAGAAGTGAAATGCCGGAGAAAGGAGAGTCAATAGAAAGGCCAATTTTGTCATGAAATGACGGTCCTATATAAAATAGTACCGGTCATGGGGAGGGGATTGTGACGATGTAAATAGTCACTCTCTTAAAATCCCGAAAACCTAAATTGTGGTGCCACCTGTCAGAAGTCATTGAACCGTAGAGTTCAAAATTATGGTAATGAGGGAAACTTGATGCTGCCGGACGACCCAGTGAAAGTCGTGAAAGTGGATCGCGCGGCTAGTTAGTAGGAAGAGAAAGTGACAGGTGGCAGGGCCAGTATTGAAATTTGAGAACGAGAAGAAGAAGACGGGCCATGTGGAGAGAAATTGGACGCTACAGGTGTTCCATATATTAGCCGCCATAACGGTTTTTGTTCTGTCGTGCCACTGATCGTGTACCGCCAGAAAACTTTTAATAAATCGTTTTCTTTCGTAGAAATTTATTGTGAGAACCTTTTGTGAAGTGGAGCGTGGAGCTCAAAGAGTTTATAATTAAAATTCAGTGATTGAAAAATACAACTTGTGTATTATTTAATTTGTGATTCCCTTTTCTAACCCGGATTTAAGTCGCCAGAATTCAAAGAGGGACATAAGTCGAAGGGCCGTGAAGAAGGTGAACGAGGTCAGAAGTCCAAGGAGTGAGCGTCGTGGGTAAGTCGTTTGCCGGTACTAAGCCAGTCGTGTCTCGTCGTTGGCATTTTCTGCTTGCCAATTGTTCGAGCAGAATCTCCTTTGAGTGAGAGAGAAGCTCAGAGGGTCGAGTTGTAATTGTTGGTCGAGTCAAATTAAAGTTTATTAATTTAGCTTTTAAAAATTAATTGGCGCCTGACGGCGAAGTTTATTTAATTAAATTTCACATTTAAGTATTGTTGAAAGCGTCAGATTTTGCTTGGCGTAAGTAGAACTTTTATACTAAATTAAAATAGTTTAAAATTATACGTCACAGTGTATATGTGTGTTTGTGATTAAAATAAAGTGACATTTATATATTTGTTTATTATGCATTTATTATAAGAATAAATCGTATTTCAATACTTACCTTAAATATTATTTATTTTAGTTGCAATATTATATTTAATATATTAAATTAATAATAATTAATGATGTTTCATTATATATATATATATATATATACCCCCACAGCACCGTAACATTCCTAAAAATTTATTAAATATTTACTTGAAATGTTCGGAATATGTAATTGCAATGTTTATTGAAAGTTGTGTAAAGAACAATTTTCACTAAACATTTCAGTTAAATATGCCGAATATTACAAGTAAATATTCAATAAATTTTTAGGAAAGTTTCGGTGCTGTGGGGGTATATATATGTCTCCCACCCCCACCTTCCGCGCGAGCCATCGCCATTAATCTTGACATACACTGCCTCGGAAATCTTGCACTCTCGATCCCGGAAATTTTAGAGATCCAAGACAGAGCTCTGTCAAGAATTTTGCATGACAGTGGAAGCCTACCTGTCTCCAGGCGGACCGCGTAATTAGGGGTGCATGAGGGAAGATGTAATAACTTCTTAAAAAATCCCAACTGTACCTTCTCAATATCATTAATTGAATTCAACCCCCATATCCGGACCTCATAAAGAAGCATACTAGCTACAAGGCTTTCAAAGAGTCTTGCATACGTCGGCCATGAATACGCTCTAAAGTTGTTTACTAAGTTCAAAACTGTGCCCACTGAAACATTCGCAGAGCTTACAAATTTACTCGACGCATTATTAAATGTACACAAATTGTCAAAAATAACCCCTAAGTATGTATATTGATTTACAACTTCTATTTTATCCATGCCAAATTTAAATGCCGAGAAATTTTTTGTGGACGAATTATTTCCATTTCTGAAAATGACAATTTTGGTCTTTTGGACATTAACTTCCAAACAGTTTAGCTTACAGTAATCATGAAGTGCCTTTAGTTTCCTTCCCAATTCAACCGGGGTATCCGACAACAATACGAGGTCATCCGCGTATGCCAGCACTATGATCTCCATTAAACTATTAATCGAAAGGCCTCTGCACCCCTTTTCTCGCAAAAATTTCTCCAGATCATTAATAAAAATCGAAAATAAATGGGGGCTGAGGACTTCCCCTTGTAACACGCCCTGAGAAACCCTAATATAACACTGGGTTACAAAAAAATGGTCATATCGTGTTTATTTAAAGTTTCCTGTGATTATTGAAAGTTTAGGTGTCACTGAATAAGAATATACCAGTAAAACATTTTTTCATTCGGTCATTCCCTTAAAAAAACGAGTTTAAAGTGTCAAAAACCGTATTTTTAGCACTTTTTGAGGCAGCGTAACAAGAAAACGCAACATGATAAAAATCTCTACAAGAGCTTAAATAAAAGCTTAAACCTTCAACTTTGAGGCTCAGAACTGAAAAGTACTTAAATAATCAATAAAAACCTCCTTAATCAAGCAGTCGCTACCTGAAATTGTCAAAAAAGCTAGAACAGGAAGCAATTGGTAAAAATCGATTTCCTTAAGCGGATTCGGTTGCAACTTGTTACTTGAAGTTTTTTGAGGTTTCTAATGACGAATTGGAACTTAGATTTAAAAAATTTCAAAATGGCGGACTGAAAATAATGAATTCACTCAATTTTTCAAAATTTGCGTTGATAATTTTAAAAAATTGAGTCCGCCACTTTGAAATTTTTTAAATCTAAGTTCCAATTCGTCATTAGAAACCTCAAAAAACCTAAAATAACAATTTGCAACCGAATCCGGTTAGGGAAATCGATTTTTACCAAGTGCTACCTAACCCAGCTTTTTTGATAATTTCAGATAGTGACTGCAGGTTTTCAGTGCTTCTTTAAGTACTTTTCAGTTCTGAGCCTTAAAGTTGAAGGTTTAAGCTTTTATTTAAGCTTTTGTAGAGATTTTTATCATGTTGCATTTTCTTGTTACGCTGCCTCAAAAAGTGCTAAAAATACGGTTTTTTGAGACTTTAAACTCGTTTTTTAAGGGAATGACCGAATGAAAAAAAGTTTTTCTGGTATATTCTTATTCTGTGACACCTAAACTTTCAATAAACACAGTAAATTTTAAATAAACACGACATGACCATTTTTTTGTAACCCAGTGTAATCCGTAGATCCTTCCCTAGTTCTGACACAAGCTACCGCCTTGCTATAGAAATCCTTAATTACATTTATAAATTTTGCACTTATCCCTGCCTCGTGTAACTTGCGCCACAGAATATTATGCGAAACCGACGAGAAGGCACTTTTAAAATCTACAAATAGTGCGTAGACTACTCTTCTAGGGTTGCTCAAATGTATTTGAATTGCAGACAACAATACAAATAAGTTATCCACACATCCACGCCCTTTTCTGAACCCCGACTGGAATTCCGAGATTACATTAAATTCTTTTTCCCACTCCAAGAAGCGGTTGGCCATAACCTGGGTAAAAATTTTTGCCGAACAATTAATCAGAGAGATGGGGCGAAAATTGTCAGTTGTCTCAAGGTCACCTTTCTTGTGAAGCATACACAAAGTTAAATTTCCCCAAGATTCCGGTACACACTCCGAATCTAGAATCTTATTAAAAAAAACCTCCAAAAAAACTATCCAATTTTCAGGCAAGCTTTTGTAAAATGCATAACCGATATTATCCGAACCCGGTGACTTTGAGGCCTTGCATCTGACCAAACTCTTACAAATTTCGTCGTAGGTGATATAGCCATCAAGAGTAGGATGAGTGGTTTGCGAAGCAGAGAATAAATTAGGTACAATAACTGGAAAACATTCACGTAAATATGTGTACCAGTCCTCCAAACTGATGCAATTTTTTGCAGACGGTACAAATCTTTTTTTGTTAATTATTCCCCAAAAATCTGCTGAATTACGCGCCAACGCAATTTGTTCGGAGAGCTGGCCCACATATAAACTTTTCTTCCTCGACAGTATTTTTGTATATTCTTGCCTTTTATTAGCGTAGATTAGCCTATCAGATTCCAGGTTCGACTCTTTATAAGCTTGGTAAGATTCCCTAAAAATACGTTTAGCCTCCAGGCACTCCCCATCATACCATGGTTTATTTTTTAATACTATACCCGAGTCATGAGTCACACGCACACACATCCCCAACTCTTACGCAACCTCGTAGATTACAGTTGTAAGCGTATCACTCATATTTTCGACTGTATCCCCACCAGATCCCCCCACCTCCGGTCTCCACCACATTGTGTTAGCAAATTCCCCCACTCTTTCATGGTCAAATTTCAACTTCAATTCTGAATGAGTAAATCGGGTTAAATGATCTTGTAACATCCCTTGAA